GTGGCGAGAGAAGCTGGTTATTTTTATGTTATCGCTGGATATGGGCACTATTTTTTATAGCTGTCTTTTTAGCCTGTGTAATTTTACAATTTTGCGATGGCAAATATTTTATTTTCTTAACAAATTGGGGCATTATACTGTGTTCTCTAACACAACTATTGGCTGCTATTCTAGTGACACGTTGGCACTTTGATTTGGGTTCCGTGAGATCGGATCTGTGTGAAGGTCATGGTAGAACGGGGAAGTCCCCGTTACTTATTAAATTATACTGGTTGTTACATGATGTTGCATTGCCTTTGGCGCTGGTAATTACAACTATCTATTGGACATTTTTGCATGGGAAAATGAGTAAGTTATTGTAATTTGTTTTAAAATCGAAAGTAGCTACCATCGTGTAATGATTAATTAGATTCAAATGCTATATATTTAATTAAAAAATTATATGTAAAAGCTCCAAGCCTCCGACTAGTCTGGAGGTAAAGTTAGGCGTACGTACATTCACCAAACTCCTATACAATATGGGTTATATTTCTGTTAAAAAAAGTCTTAGACTCAGAGAAATATGATCGCCAAAAAGTAGGGAGACCGATTTTATATTACCTGCACGAAGCTTTAATATGAATTTCCGAATTCGACTACCAATAAGAGAAAACTAAGTAGCAAACACTTTACTTCGCGATCTTAGTCTACACTGTTCAAAAATTATACTGTAACTGATGTCCAACAGATTTCCTTATGCCTGCACTGTTTCAAAATGAAATTATGAAATGATAGGATACGGCCGAGAGAAACAGAGAACAAAATTTCGAGTCGTCGACCATTAACAACTACGTAGACAGTCCTGCATTCTGCAAGCATTCGCCTCGGCAGTTGAAATTACCTCCCAATTACATTCTATTGCTCTCCTAAATTAGATAATATTCCATAGAATTGGGTTCCTGAAGACAAAGTAGTAAAGTAAAAATGTTTCTCTAAACGATATCCACATTCCAAGTGGTCCTCATGAGCATTTTGTAAATTTCTTTGGCCCATCTTTCGCGAAAAAAGCAGGGCTCGCGAGCTCGAGGGGCGAAAGGCAAAACGAAACGAACAAAACGAACGAACGAACGAAAACGAACGAACGAAAGAAACGAAAACGAACGAACGAAAGAACGAACGAACGAACGAACGAACGAACGAAACGAACGAACGAACGAACGAAAACGAACGAACGAACGAACGAACGAACGAACGAAAAACGAACGACGAACGAACGAACGAAACGAACGAACGAACGAACGAACGAACGAACGAACGAACGAACGAACGAACGAACGAACGAACGAACGAACGAACGAACGAACGAACGAACGAACGAACGAACGAACGAACGAACGAAACGAACGAACGAACGAACGAACGAACGAACGAACGAAGAACGAACGAAGAACGAACGAACGAACGAACGAACGAAACGAACGAACGAACGAACGAACGAACGAACAAAGAACGAACGAACGAACGAACGAACGAACGAACGAACGAACGAAACGAACGAACGAACGAACGAACGAACGAACGAAACGAACGAACGAACGAACGAACGAACGAACGAACGAACGAACGAACGAAAACGAACGAACGAACGAACGAACGAACGAACGAACGAAACGAAAACGAACGAACGAACGAACGAACGAACGAACGAACGAACGAACGAAAACGAACGAACGAACGAACGAACGAAAGAACGAACGAACGAACGAACGAACGAACGAACGAACGAACGAACGAACGAACGAACGAACGAACGAACGAACGAACGAACGACGAACGAACGAACGAACGAACGAAAGAACGAACGAACGAACGAACGAACGAACGAACGAACGAACGAACGAAACGAACGAACGAACGAACGAACGAAACGAACGAAAACGAACGAACGAACGAACGAACGAACGAACGAACGAACGAACGAAAAAAAACGAACGAACGAACGACCGAACAAGAACGAACGAACAAACTAACTAACTACTAACTAACTAACTAACTAACTAACTAACACTAACTAACTAACTAACTAACTAACTAACCTAACTACCAAACTACCTAACTAACTAACTAACTAACTAACTACGAACTAACTAACTAACTAACTAACTAACTACTAACTAACTAACTAACTAACTAACTAACTAACTAACTAACTAACACTAACTAACAACTAACTAACTAACTAATACCTAACTAACTACCAACTAACTAACTAACTAACTACTACTAACTACCTACTAACTACTAACTAACTACAACTACTAACAAACTAACTACCCTAACTACCAACTAACTAACTAACTAACTACTAACTAACTAAATAACTAGCTAACTAACTACTAATTATTAACGTAACTACCTATCTAATTAACTGACTATTAACTAACTAATTAACTAACTACCTATCTGATTAACTGACTAACTTACTAACTAACTACCTATCTAATTAACTGAATGACTAACTAACTAACTTCATATGGGATATGTCACGCCCAATTATTGCAAGTTCGAGAATTTTTCCAAATGTTTTCATAAACGTCAAAGTTTTTCATGCATACTCTCCGAGCTAAGAATTTTTGTATTTAATTCATACGAGAGGTTCCAAGTCCCCCAATGAAAGTCCGCCCATTCTACCCCAAAATGTTCAGAGAAATGTTAAAGTTCTTTGTAGGATATTTGAAGATTCTAGCTCTTATAGTTTCCCAGATTAACAAATGTTTGTTTTTAATTCATATGGGAGGTGCCACGCCCCCTATTGCTAGTCCGTCAATTTATTATCCAAATATTCACATGAATGCCAAAGTTGTTCGTGCAAAAATTTAAGCATTTTAGCTCTAATATTTTCTCAACGAAATGATGTATTTCATTCATATGGGATTTTCCAAGACCGAGAAAAACGATTTTTGTATTTAATTCATATGGGAGTTGCTTCTCCCCCTATTGCTAGTCCACCAATTTTTTACTTATGAACACTATAGTGGTTTCGACATAATTTGTGGACTCTAACTGTTAATTTTCTCAAATATACTGATTTAATATTTACTTTATATAGGAGGTGCCACGCCCACTATATCCAGTCCGCCCATTTTGTCCCTAAATATTCATATGGACCTTGAGGACCCTTCTTTTATTACATATTTTGTATGATAAATTTTCGAAATAAAATGTAGACTTTAAACGGTCCATAGAAGATAGATAAACTGTTCTCCCTAAAATAAGGCTAAGATGCGAAATAAAACCATATTTGACTGAAAAAAGTGACCGATTTTTAGAACAGTTGTACTACTTACATTAGTAACTTAATTTTCTAAATGCTATTTTTAATATATTTATCCAGTGTACTTTCTATGAGAATCTGAACTGCAATATCCGGACAAAGAGTGCCTCTATCTGATATCCTAAATAAATCTTAGACATTTCTCTATTAAAAGTTAGAAAAAATCTTAATTAAACAGAATTTTATATTGGAGTTTGATTTCAATATATGTATTTCCTATTTCTAATCAAAATTCGGTAATTGTTGTATACAAAATTATACATCTTTATTTAACCACATTTGGAATAAGAAATTATTTTCTTTATTGTATTTTTTTTCAATTTCCTGTTCTTAATTTTTAATTCTAACTACTATTTTTCTAGATAAACCCTCACGATTTCCGATCATTAGTTTCGTAACACACTGCCTTAATTCCGTGTTTATGCTGGTGGATTTTTTGATTGTTGCATTTCCGGTGCGGCTGCTGCACACCCTCTATGCCATGCTGTTGCCCATAATTTTCTGTTTCTTTACGTTAATTTATTTTTTCTGTGGCGGTACTGATGAGTAAGTACTTGTTGTACAAACGAATTCACATTTGGAATCTGTGAATTATAACACAATTATAACTAATTATTTAATTACTGATGTTGTTTTTTTCTTTCTCTCCCTCATAAACAATTTGCCTTAATAAAAAAAATGTACGATCAAGGTATGGGAATCATTATGTTTATCCGCTATTGGATTGGACAATACCCGTCCGTGGTGTAGAGACATTTGTTGGCGTTTTCGGTTTATATTGTATTTATTCGATTCTACTGTTTGTGGTCTACAAATTAAGACGTTTCTTACATCGTACAATGAGTGTTGTCTGGTCACCTCATTGTGTTGGTTTAATTTGATCATCATTATTCTCTCGGTTAGTGTCATCATGATTATCATCGAACATCATATTTATAATTATCTTCATTGTTTTGTCATTATCAAATTTTTAAAAAATACTTGCCACATATTTTATTATAATTTGTACAAGCACCTACATACATATTTAACTTGTTGTTAAGTTATTTTTTACACCATTTCCATTTGCAGCAAAAGAAAAGATTCTGTTTACGAACGAAATGCTTTCAATATTCTTTTGAATATCAATAAATAATGTGTGCAAATACATTTTATGTCTGAGAATTTATTTTAAAATTTCCCCATTGGAAATGGTGTATTTTAATATTATTATTATTTTACTTTAATATCTCATTTTGTCAAATCATTTATACACATTTATTTAATTACTAAAGTAAGTAGTACGAAATGTATTAAAATTTAGTGAAACTAAAATATTTATAATTATTTTGTTCCTTAAATTACTAAATACAATTAATATTTTTTAAAACATAAATAAATTTTTATAGTATTAAACATTTCTTAAATTATTCCATATTTCGTTTAGAGAGTCTGGAAACAATATTGTCCCTAGGAAGAAATTCATTTGCAATTCATAAAAGTTTTCAGTTTAATAGAACTGCTTTCGATTGAAATGTTTTCAATAGAAAAGTTTACGATTGAAAGCTTTTCAACATAAAAGTTTTCAGTTTAATAGAACTGCTTCCGATTGAAATGTTTTCAATAGAAAAGCTTTCGATTGAAAGGTTTTCAATAGAACAGCTTTACAGAAAGATTGAGAGACTTCCAATAGAACAGCTTTCGATTGAAAGGCTTTTAATAGAACAGCTTTCGATTGAAGGGCTTTCAATAGAACAGCATTCGATTGAAAGGCTTTCAATAAAAAAGCTATCGATTGAAAGGCTTTCAATAGAAAAGCTTTCGATTGAAAGGCTTTCAATAGAAAAGCTTTCGATTGAAAGGCTTTCAATAGAAAAGCTTTCGATTGAAAGGCTTTCAATAGAAAATCTATCGACTGTTAAGCTAAAAATAAAGACGCTTTTGATTGAAAGGTTTTCAATAGAAAAGCTTTCGATTGAAAGGCCTTCAATAGAATAGCTTTCGATTGAAAGGTTTTCAACAGAAAAGCTTTAAAAGGTTTTCAACAGAAAATCTTTTGGATTGAAAGGTTTTTGATAGAAAAGCTTTCGATTGAAAGCTTTTTAATAGAAAAGCTTTCGATTGAAAGGTTTTTAATAGAAAAGCTTGCGATTGAAAGGTTTTTAGTAGAAAAGCTTTCGTTTTAAAGGTTTTCAATAGAAAAGCTTTCGTTTAAAAGGTTTTTAATAGAAAAGCTTTCGTTTAAAAGATTTTTAATAGAAAAGCTTTCGATTGAAAGCTTTTTAATGGAAAAGCTTTCGATTTAAAGATTTTCAATAGAAAAACCTTCGATTGAAAGGTTTTCAATTAAAAAGATCTCAATCGAGCTTTCAATAGAAAAACTTTCGATAGAAAGCTTGTCAATAGCTACGAGCAAAGAGAAAAGTTTTCGGTGGAAAAGATTTAAAAAGAGCTTTGGATTAAGAAGCTTTCGATTTCGAAAATTTATTTTTTTTTTAGTAGAAAAGCTTTCGTTTTAAAGGTTTTCAATAGAAAAGCTTTTGTTTAAAATGTTTTTAATAGAAAAGCTTTCTATTGAAAGCTTTTTAATAGAACAGCTTTCGATTGAAAGGTTTTTAATAGCGACTTTTTCAAAGAGAAAAGTTTTCAGTGGAAAAGATTTCAAAAGAGCTTTGGATTAAGAAGCTTTCGATTTCGAAAATTTTCAATAGAAAAGCTTTCGATTAATAGATTTTCAGTAGAAAAGCATTCAATTAATTTTGTTGATTATCTCCGAATGGGTTAATTTGTACTCCAACAACTACTCTCTTACAAAAAGCTTACTCTCAAATATAAACAAGAACTTAGTTTTTTTCGCACAATTGTTTGGTAAATATTGTTGTTTATATTATGTGGTTTAAGCCTGTATTTACCAACAACCAACAAATGAATGATGAACACAAACAATAGACCAGAGTCCACAATCCACAAATTGTAGTGACGTTTTCATCATTATGAAGTAGATGATCTTCATTAGTGAATACTAATGAAAAAAGTTAAGCAAATACAATAACGATGATCTGATGTTGATGACGTTTCTGTTTTAGCAAATACTAACATGTATATATTTAGGTAAGTATGTATGTAAAATACGATGTGATACAATTCAATTTGGCAGTTAAAAAAACAAGTAATATTTTGTTGTTGTTGTTGTTGTTAACAACCACAAAATTATGAGAACAGCTAAAATAACAAAAATAAAATACATTTAATGGTGTTTCTGTTAGGAGTACACTCTAAAAAACGTATAATGACCATTGTTGCGATTTTGTGAAATGTATGGTCCTTGTTGATATCAATCCCAACAAATTTAGTTGGATTTTTCATCTTTGACCTTTCACCTTGTTTATACCCCATCGTGTTTGGAATCTATTTTTTGGGTGAACTGTTATTGATGATTTATAAACAATTTAATCCTCCCAAATGTTGATGGAATCTCTCTTACCTCAGCTCTAATGATTACTGGAGCGAAGACTCAATCTGGCCATACGACCATATTCAACTCCGAACCGTTTTTTACAGAGACTTTTCCGAATCAATTCTGTATAATTCAGAAGAATTGAAACTAATACTCTTGCGTGCGTGAATAGGTTTCTTTTAAATTGACAGACATTTTAACCGCCCGTTGGTGCTTATAATATGTATGTATATCGAACTGAGGCCTTGAATGTTGGGATCTCTTAATGATATGGTAAAGCATTTCGTAGTGGGACTGTACTAGATTCTGAGCCATCAAAAGTTAACGGATAATATCGTTGCATGATGCTTCACTTGCTAGGGAAGTGAAGCTCGATTCAGGACAGAGCATAAACAATTTAGACTATCAATTGTGACTACCAGCAGATCCAATCCATGTCAGAAGATTGAATCTTGCAAGAAATGAATTCTGCAGAAGCTTTCATGGTCAAGAGAAAGATGTCATTCAGTTTTTCTATCACTGGCCAAACCTAGCGTTGTATAGATTTAGCTCTCCAGGAACCTATTTACTGCACGATATAAAGGATTTATCGAAGGATAACATACTAGAGATCATGGAAGAATTAGAATTCCGAATTAGTTTTCTTGATGATAAACTCCATCTTGGTGTATTGCAATCCCGGGGTATAGAGGTGCTACCAATACCTCTAGTCTGCGGGACTATAAACTGGTGATGATCAAATCTATCCTCGGCCTTTCCTTCAATAATTTGACATGGAGTCTAACCAGAGAACCACATAATCTGGTACTACGGGTGGCCAGTTTCCTACAAGACTTTGTCCTGTCTGGTCAGTTGGTTGAGGTTCCTTCGGGATCCACGTAGTAGCTGTGGTTTATACCCAAAATCGCGGGAAGGGACAGATGGTTTGGTTTGATTCACGGTGTAGTAATATCTTTTCAAGATAAGTTTCTTTTATAGTTGGTAAGAGCGGTACAAACCACAAGGAAGGCTGTGGAATAAAATGTTAGGAATGAGCTGATAATGCAATAATTGATCCTTAAAATGATGTGTTGACTGTTGGATATGATGTATTTGATGGAAAAGATGAAAGTGTTGGAAGAGACGGAAGTATTGGAGAAGATGGATGATGTAAGAAGGTTGATGGCTGCATACTTAAGTATGCCGATGGTTTTTGAACGGTTTGGTGACGATGTTTAATCTTTGTTTTATCGGCAATTTTCCTCCATCTGTGCGGATCGTTAGAAGATGGGGACGCTACGGCGTCGCTCATGACTGTGCATATACCTATTGATCTATCTCGGCGTTGATCCCAAGATTATAGATTCAATGGGTGCGATGTTGAGGTCTTCGTTGGCCCCTCTCTTTCGATTCATCTGGTACTTTTCAACCTGGCTTTCCGCAACGTGATCACTTGACAAGAGATTAGATAGCTCGAGCTCTTTAGCAAAGTGCTTGTGCATGGACCGGCTCAGCCATGTAGAAAGATTGCTACCTGATTTCTTCATAGAAGAATTCAGGGGCGAGTGGAAGACCGTTCTCAAGTCTACCCAGTGGATGAAAAAGACCACCATTAACCACTAATTAACCAAAATTTTTCTTTAAGTGTATGATCATAACAAAATTTGATATTTGTTTGATCTCTATGTCTGTAGTTGTGGTCGCGTGTGATATTTTATTTAGTGGTAGTGCTGTTTGTTGTTGCGGTGGTTTGTAAACAAAATCAGTTTTTGTTTGACATTCAAGTAGTCAGTCTGTGATTGAGAGTGGTAACGATAAGTTGCAATTGATTAACGTAGATCGCACGGATTCTGCTGTCTGTTAATAAACGCGCGTGAAATAAAACTTTTTTTTGTATAAAAATAAAGCGCGTTCGTTTGAATTGAGAAAAAAAACTACAGACAGGTGTGTGTGCTAACAAAAAAAAAAAGCTTAAAGTTAAAGCATTAAAAGAGAGTAAAACAGAAATAAGAGCGTTAATTAAATCGTTATAATGAAGATCTATCATTAAAAACAAAGTTCAAAACAAGTGATCAGTTCAGAGTTGAAATAAAAAGTCCGCAATAAAATTGAAAATAAAGAAAGAAAAAAAAAACTAAAACAGCTGTTTGGAGTTAGATCGTGTGTAAAGAGTTGGTAGGTTGATTGGTAATAATACGAGCCTGTTTTTATTTTTGGAATGGTTAATCGCTTGGCTGGTGTTTGTTGTAAGCCAACTAATAATTGTTGCTTCTTTAAGCTTAAAGCAAATGGTCAAAAAGAAGTGTTTCTGATATTTAAATCAAATTAATAATAACAATAACAGCAACAAAAACATTAGCAATAATGTTTCTGTAACAGTTAGTAAATTGTTAAAACAAAAACTGAACAAAAAAAAACAACTTTAAACAAATCTATTGGAAGTTTATTGTTGCATGTAATTGACCTACTTAGAGTTGTGGTTGTTGTTACCGATCACTGGCTAATAGTGGTAACCAAACAGACATTTAAAGTATGAATTCATTATAAACAAAAACAAAATGGTATAAGTTACAAAAATGGCTTGTCTAACAAATAAGTAAATAGACGTTTACATAGCGACATTAATATTGACAGCTACCTTCAATGTCAGCTATACTGGTTAATTGTATAATTAAATTATTAAAAATTTGTTTAAATAATTTGTGTTAAATGTTAAAAAAGCGAATAATAAGCTTAAATTAACTAAACGCCCAAATAATTGTTAGTTATGTGACAATGGGCTATTTACTTTACAGTGTAAATTGTATTTATTTGGGGTCAAAGTTTCTATCGAAAATTCCCTTGTTCGCAAGATATTTACCTAAATCTAATTTCGATAATTACCTTACTTCGACTTCTTAAAGATGTGGGTCTACTTATATTCCTGTGTGGCCTCCGGTGGGTTAGTGGTTAGTGTTCTAGTCTAGTAGACCGGAGGTGGTGGGTTCGATTCCCACCTGAGGCACTGGTTAAGGAGCGCACAACAGGCCCGATAGAGGTCTAGGTGTATTTCTTCGGATTTGATGTATATATGTATGTACATCCTCCTTTCAAACTAACTAACTAACTATATTCCTGTGATTGGACACATTCGAAAATAATATAATTGGATATCATATAGAGATCCACGATAAAAGCTATAGAATGGGCTATATATACAACTTCGAGAGAACATAGTTTTGTGCTCAGTTGAAGTACATGAAAAGCTCCTGACTTCGAGATCAAACATTGAACGAAAGATGGGCACTTGATCATTCTATCTTTCTTTTCAAACTCCCCCTTTTTTATTCTTCCTAGACACGCAGTTGGTAGGTGAAATCTAACCAAAGTTGGGAAGAGGTATTTTTCACTGTCCTTGAAGTCCACTGTTTACATTATGCTATGGAAAAGTAAACTGGCGAATAAAGACATACAGGAAAAACTAGGCTGTCGGAATATTAAGCTGAAAAAATGGCAGGTTTTAGCACTAAAAATAACTCTGAGGTCACTCTTCTTGTGGCAGTTATTGACCAGAACTCCAAGACTAACTTTGGGAAGAATAATTCGCCTTTTAAGCTGAATTCTTCTAAATGGAAAACGTTCCTATTAAAACGAGTGATACCATCATCCAAAACAACGACTCCGAACTACAGGCTCACTAGCCACAACTGTGGAATAAGACGAGTTATATCAGATCAAGGAGGTGATCATCAATACGAAGAAGATTACCTATTGGAAAAGATGTTACCACTAGCCCCAACAAGGTCAATGAAGTATCAGCTACGTTGTCTAGGGCATTAATAACCAGGAGGAGTCAAAGCTTAAAAACGAAATTAATCATCAATTTACAAGTAAGCAGTTTAAAGGACTGTTATAATCGTTTTCCGTAATTTTTCAGTCTGAAATATTTGACCTCAATACTCATGGCAATATAAGAATGATCATAGCCAGATCTGTTGCGACAAAAAATATCGTGTGTCTTGTGCAGGCCTTTATTAGATATCGAAAAATACCCACGTATTCAGTACTTTTCCTAACTTATAAACTTTTGTTAAATAACTAGTCTATAGTCTAGTCTATAGTCTAGTCTATAGTCTAGTCTATAGTCTAGTCTAGTCTATAGTCTAGTCTATAGTCTAGTCTATAGTCTAGTCTATAGTCTAGTCTATAGTCTAGTCTATAGTCTAGTCTATAGTCTAGTCTATAGTCTAGTCTATAGTCTAGTCTATAGTCTAGTCTATAGTCTAGTCTATAGTCTAGTCTATAGTCTAGTCTATAGTCTGGTCTATAGTCTAGTCTAGTTTATAGTCTAGTCTATAGTCTAGTCTATAGTCTAGCCTATAGTCTAGTCTATAGTCTAGTCTATAGTCTAGTCTATAGTCTAGTCTATAGTCTAGTCTATAGTCTAGTCTATAGTCTAGTCTATAGTCTAGTCTATAGTCTAGTCTATAGTCTAGTCTATAGTCTAGTCTAGTCTATAGTCTAGTCTATAGTCTAGTCTATAGTCTAGTCTATAGTCTAGTCTATAGTCTAGTCTATAGTCTAGTCTATAGTCTAGTCTATAGTCTAGTCTATAGTCTAGTCTATAGTCTAGTCTATAGTCTAGTCTATAGTCTAGTCTAGTCTATAGTCTAGTCTATAGTCTAGTCTATAGTCTAGTCTATAGTCTAGTCTATAGTCTAGTCTATAGTCTAGTCTATAGTCTAGTCTATAGTCTAGTCTATAGTCTAGTCTATAGACTAGTCTATAGTCTAGTCTATAGTCTAGTCTATAGTCTAGTCTATAGTCTAGTCTATAGTCTAGTCTATAGTCTAGTCTCTATAGTCTAGTCTATAGTCTAGTCTATAGTCTAGTATATCTAGTCTATAGTCTAGTCTATAGTCTAGTCTATAGTCTAGTCTATAGTCTAGTCTATAGTCTAGTCTATAGTCTAGTCTATAGTCTAGTCTATAGTCTAGTCTATAGTCTAGTCTATAGTCTAGTCTATAGTCTAGTCTATAGTCTAGTCTATAGTCTGTCTATAGTCTAGTCTATAGCCTAGTCTATAGTCTAGTCTATAGTCTGGTCTATAGTCTAGTCTATAGTCTAGCTATAATCTAGTCTATAGTCTAGTCTATAGTCTAGTCCGTAGTCTATTCTATAGTCTAGTCTTTAGACTAGACTATAGAATAGACTATAGACTAGACTAGCCTATAGTCTAGTCTATAGTCTAGTCTATAGTCTAGTCTACAGTCTAGTCTATAGTATGATGATTTTCTCATTAATTAAGTATAAACTTATTTGTTCGATCGATCAGAATAATTTTAAAGCTGTCTAAATCTTGAATTAAATATTTATTATTGGATTTATATTTAAATCATGTAATTTCAATGATATCATTGATTGACCATTTTGAATTTCAATAACCAAGCTGTATAAAAAACAACCTAAATAGTTCAGCATATTCATGGATTAATTAAAATATTTTTATGTTTTCCAAATTTTAATCAAACTATAGGAATCTTAACATCAAACATTAGCTAAAAGCGCAAGCGTGTTTAAAAAGCTTTAATTGTTAAAAAATTACAAACAGACAGACAAACATAACAATAGTTATTTTGGTCTGCACACATAAACAAAACAATTTTACCTTGAGGCCACCATTCAAATTTGGAGGGAATAAATAACAACTTGGTAGTGTACAAAAACCCAAAAAATAGCTTTAACAAAGAATTGAGTTCAAAACCAGACATACGTTAAAATAAATTACCAAAAAAATAAAAAAAAGACAACATTTACTGTTTAAAAAAAAAGAAATGCGAATTGAAGTTTAAAAATAAATGCAGAATCTGAAAAAGAAACAAGTTGAAATTAGTGGAAAAAACGCGTAAATGTTAAATCCAGTTGTACGAGTAAAGTGCTGTTTTAATTTCGTTATTATTAATTTTTGTTTTTTTTGTAAGCGCCATATTAAAATATTTTAAAATTTACAAGCATTTAGAGAAGTTTAAGTGTGACTAATATTAATTCGTACAATTATGACGCCAAAAAATTGCTATCATGTATTATAGTTCAAACACTTTTTCCTAAATTTATGATCTTCGTTGTTGTTGTAACCCCTTAAACTATACAATTTACTTCTACTGGATTAGTACATAAATGGGGTGGGCTGGACAGTTGAATTTGTTGTGGTTATCATGAGGACCCTAACCACTTACTGTGTATATATTGGGGACGTCGCGGTCAATGCGGGACCAGTAGGTGTTGAGGCTGTTGACCTATCGCGGTTAGTTGTCAGATTTAAGGGATCCTTGAATCGTAATTCGTCCACTATCCTCGTATACAAGGAGGTCCTTCGGGATTATGTATAGTGATGAAATTATGTATTTCTCCGTTTCGACATTGTGATATTTGCTAATATGTCATGAGCTTCCAAGGAGTCTGAGTACTTTTTAAAGACATCAACGTAATTGCAACAGATCTGGGTGTGGTTTCTGCCTGGACCTAAACTAGGATAATATTAGATCATTCTTATATTGTCTGACCTATAGGTAGTGTAAGAAATCAATGAGAGAAGCGTCACCTACTGACGAAAATTCCGGTATTGCCACGAATATTAAGGTCAAATATTTCAGATTGAAAAATTATTGGAAAATGATTATAACACTCCTATAAACTGCTTACTTGTAAATTGGTGTTCACATCTTCGCTTTTACGATTTGACTCCTCCATTTAGCATGTAGTGTCTAATAATGTCATAGACACCGTTGCTGATGACCTTCGATGACCTTGTTGGGGCTAGTGGTAACATCCCTTCCAATTAAGCGGGTTGATGATCACCTCCTCGATTTGATATAACTTGTCTTTTTTCACTGTTGTGGCTAGTGATCTTGTGGACACCGTTGTTGGAAGTGCGAAGTCCTTGTTGTGAATGGTGGTAACAGTCGTTCCAATAGGCATCTTTCCCATTTAGAAGAATTCAGCTTAAAAAACCTGCCACTTTTCCAGCTTAATATTCCGACAGCCTAGCTTTTCCTATATGTCTTCATTCGCCAATTTACTACTCCATCGCTTAATGTAAACAGTGGACTACAAGAACATTGAAAAATAGCTCTTCCCTGATAGCGCTATCTCAGGGAAAAATGTTATTTTTTGCCTGTCAACTTCGTGTCTAGGAA